GGAAATCCAAAATCTCTGTAAATGCTCATTAAAAAAATTTTTTTTAAAAAAAGAATTACTAGAATAAAACTTTCCGGGCATAAAAAAAGGACAGATTTATTAGAAAGTTATATCCCCAAAGGGATGGCTCTGTCTCTGTGAAAGGAAATATGGAGGAGAGGCCAAGTGTAGGTTTTTTTAATGGTTTTTTTTGTTCAACATTTTCCTCCCATTCTATCCACAACCTACTATTGTGATCCGTCTCAGAATTTCTGGCAAGGTAGCTGATCCATCCAGCTCTTTTGGTCTCATGGTCATGGAGGATGGGGTTTACAAGGTCCATCAGTCTTTTGGATTAATAATTTACTCACATCTTTGGTTTTAGCCATTCTTTACTCTAGATGGAGAGACCAACACCTTTACTGGTAGTTCACAAGCTTTTAAGGCACCAACTACTATTCATCAAACACTATATTTATGGATTGCGTTGAGCCAACTGACTTGGTGTCTGTTTACACTATGGTCCTGAGATCTCAGGCCAACCAATTAATTCCCTCAAAATGTTTGGTTATAGTTAAGTTTCTGAAATGATCTCTTCCTAGCCCTTCCTTTTCAACCCTCTCAGCCTAGCTGGCAGCCTTACTAGCACCTTCCCTTTGCTATGCCTTCCCCTTCCTCAGTATGCCTCTGCGGCTCAGTGTCTGGTCCTCTCCAATCTCTTGATTTCCTGGAGAAATCAAACCCAGGGAAGGTTAACTAGTTTCTTTTTTCATGTACTCTGGAACTTCTTAGTTCTCCTAGACATTTTCTGACTTTCTGTAGGTGAAGTATCTGTGTGGGGCTGTTTAGGTGTTCATGGTCAGAGCTTTATAGCTTTCAGGCCAGATTCAGGCTGGACAGAGAACCACCTGTCTCAGAATGTCCCCTAGCTTATCATGCTGCAGACCAGAGCTGACTGTAGACATCCTCCCTGGGGTCCACAGTTCGTGCTGGACCTGTTGCCTGTGCCATCTAGGGTCCCCTCTTACTCTGGGCAAAGGGGGAAATATCCAGGAAACCAAAGAGTATTATTACTGCTCCCTGTCAAGTTTAGGAATAGGATGCCTTCCTCCCCTCCACCCCTTGCCCCACCCCTTGCTCTACATATAGATCTTGTGTAGCCCAGTCTTGCTAATCTATGAATAACTGTAACTACTAGCTCCTATTTGGCACATGTATCTGTCAGGCACTGGATGAAACATTTGACATGGACTAGTTAATTAAATACATGTAGCAACTTATTTCAGGGGATCTGAGGCAGCTTGAACTTCTTCCTTCATTACCATAGGCTCTTGCTTATATGTTGTTTCATGAAATTCTTCTGCCAATTCCTTTCGATACAGTAACTCAGTATATTCTTTCCATCTTTCTTATAGAAGAGGTTCCTCAGAAAGCTGATGGTCATTAGGAGTCAGAACCAATTCAAAGGCATCACACACACACACACACACACACACACCCCTCCCCCAGCACCACCACCAGATCACCAAGTTGACCCCAGTTCATGGTGACCTCATATGGTCAGAACTGTTCTCCACAGCATTTTCAGTGGCTGCCTTTTCAGAAGCAGATCACCAGAACTTTCTTCTGATGTGCCTCTGGATGAACTTGAACCTCTAATCCTTTTACTATTTGAACCACCTCTCTCACTGTCATCAAATCAGTTCTGATTCAGTGATCCTCCATCAAGTTCCCAAAGCTGTAAATCTTTACAGGAGACTTTTCATCTTTCTCCCTTGAACAGGTGGTGACTTTGAACCTTTCTGTTCTCCATGTAATTCCACCATCAGAGTTCCTGTGCACTAGCTAGGGACGCTAGTCAATTCCTACATATGACCTATGGACTTTACAAGTGAGGGAACTGGAAATAACCATTTTACCTGAGTTGCACTGTTAAAAGTGGTAGTTCCACGATTTAAACTCTGGCTGGCTGACTGCTCAGGAATGTTCCTAATGCTTTCAAGGGATGAAGTGATATTTTTTCATCTCTCTCCAGACAGTAAAAAGCCCAGATGTGTGGGGCTTGTCAATTCTATGGTTATAAGCACTCTTACCACGGCCACCATCAAGTAACTAACATCAACAAACATGGGGCTCGTTAGCACCCCATTATATGGTATTTCCACCACACCAGTATTGTTGTTGTTGTTGTTATGTGCCGTTGAGTCGCCTGGCCTGCGACTCATAGCGACCCTATGTACAACAGCCCTAAACTCCGCTCTGTCCTGTGCCAATCGCACTGTCTCTGACACTCCCATCCCAATTATCCCAGTCACTGAATCAATCCACCTCATAGAGGGCCTTCCTCGCCTGCGCCGTCCCTCCACCCTCCCAACCTCAAAAGCAAAGTTGTAAGTTTTTTTACATACAGCAATAATTTATTCTGTAAAGTCCTTTTAGTTTCTGTTGAGACACTATTTCACATCCCATTAATAAAAGAGCAGCCATCTTACTTTAAATATACAAGTTACAGCTTAGCAAAAATTCTACGTACTTTCAGATAAAATCTAGTTCAGGTGAAATAGTTTCAGGAAGTAATGAGTTTGACTTTTGTTTTTAACAAAACGTATGTAAGTATTATTTGGTGCCACTACCAAGCCACAGCTGACCCTCTGGTGGACTTTCAGGGGCAGGAAATTGCAAGGTAGGAGACTGCCCATCCTTCTCCCACAGAGCAGCTGATGGATTGGAACCGCATGCCTTTGGGACTGCTGCACAGCTCCTTTGCACTAGGCCACCAGAGCTTATTTGTAGTAACAATTGGGCTCCACAATCAGCCCTCAAAGCTCAAACTTGACAATTGACTCCTACAAGCCTGTTGGTAGTTCCTATCGCCTAGTTCAGAGGGGGCTGCACTGCTAACCCAAAGACCACGCTTCTCTGAGGGTTCAAATCCACCATTAGCTGCATCACAGGAGGAAACCTGGTGATGTTCCCTGCAATTAACAGCCTTGAAAAGCCAATGGAAGATCAGCTATGAGTCCGTTCCAACTCGATGGCAGTGAGTTTCCATTGTTCCTACTTCCTAAGAGAACTTAAAATCTGTCGTCCACCTTTCTCCATCTTCCACAAGACTTTGTAACGGTGCAAGTGGTGATCCCTTGATTTCTGCGAAGTCTCCCAGATTTTCACAGGTTCCTTCTTTGTGCTGGTGAAAGGTACGGAATATACCATGGCCGGCCCCAAATCAAACAAATCTGTCTTGAAGGAAGTACAACCAGGGTGCTCCTTGGAGGGAAAGATAGTGAAATTTTGTCTTCTACTTTGGGCATGTTTTCAAGGGGTTTCAGTCCTTGAAAAAAAAAAAGACCGCATGCTTGGAAAAACTGAGTCAGCAAAAGACAGAACTTCAGAGACTGACGGCCACCATGGTTGCTAACAATGCTTGAGCACGGTGGAGATCAGGATGGCGCAGGGTAAGGCAAGGCTCTGATCTGTTGTATGTAGGATGGAGCTGAAGTTGACTCAGCGGCTCCTACCACCCACCCCGTTCCAGGAATCACACTACACTGGGATGATGTCTGTATCTTCCATGACTTCTCATAACCCACCTTCCCAGACTCATCATTCTCCAAATTTTGCTGAGTACTTTCTGTTAGTCACCTCAGTAGGTGCCAGAGATGGAAAGTATATGGAAACATGGAGGGTAGTTTTAAGTCTTGTTGCTGTTCCATTCCCCCCACCCTCATTTCTTAATAGTAGTAATAGGACCTACTTCTCTGAACTTCAGCCTACTGTAAAATGAAGAAATGACAGACCCCCACCCCACTGTGATCCCAGGTCACTGAATGCTGCTTTAGATTTCCTCTAGAATTGGCAGTCAAATTCTGACAGACTGTGGATATAGAGCTGGGAGGTGATGAGTGGAAGGGCAGGCAGAGGTGGGCCCAGGACTCCAGTTCCATGGTGCAGAAAGGGTAGCAATCTTAGAAGGTAGCGTTAAGGGGCAAGGGTTTCTGCAGTGAGCCCTAGAACTGAGAATGGATTATGCAGTTTCCACTCGGGCTGGTCCAACAGCAAATGGCACTGGACAGGAAAGGAAAGGGCAAAGGCAAAGGCAACATGCAGACTCTATGGTTTTGCAGATATTTTTGATGGCTTTGTTTGCACACAGAAGAGCAAGTTTATGTTGGAGCACTGTAATCATAACTTGATGCTCTATCAAGTCCCTGGAGCCTGCTGGAGCCTCCCAGATTGCTTCTATACATTGTAGCAGCTGGCTGTGTTCTGGGTCGTTTTCCCAGCCCCAGGGCAAATAGGCAAAGAGCCTGCCTATTTCTTCAGGAGATGCACGGCCTGGTGACGGGAATTTGCCATTATTCCAAGGTTGCAGGGGCTCACCTTCTCTTACTCTCTTCAGAACCTTCAAAACATAGTTTCGTCCCAGTTTAGACCCCTTACCCTGATAATCTTGCCTGCTTGCTCATCTTTTATTCTAACGCTAGTCCCACCACCCTATCCTATCCCCCACCACCTCTATCCCACAAGAAACCAGCAAAACCATCGTGGTGAAGACATTTATTTAATATGGAGGGTGGGGTATTGCTGTCTCTGTGTACGGGGGTGGTAGGGAGACAACCAGAGGGATTTGTGTCCTGGAGTAAGAGGCTGTTCTGGCTCCAGGCTGGAAGGTGGGGAGCAGACTGAAGGGACAAGGGAGGTGTGTAAGGAGTTAGGGTGAAGCTCTGCACACATCCTTGGGACCACAGTCCAGGCCCACCCAATCACCAAAGCAAGAACCGAATAAATAAAGTGCAACTGTGGGGTTGGGGGAGGGGGAAAGGGAGGGCAGTGGGCACACCCACACCCACAGCCCACATTCAGTGCTGCCAGGTCTGGCCCACCTCCTGCCAGACCCTCTTGTCCAATCACCCCTATGTCCGTCCCTCCATGAGCCAGGAGAGGGCCCTGTGCAGCTACTGGAGGTAGCGTTAGTCCTTAAAGCAGTGGTTGCCTGCATCAGCCACCACCACGTGGCCATCCGAGGTCAGTGCCAGGCCCTGGGGGCCATACAGTGGCTCTGCAGATGTGTTGATATAGGACAGGAAGGAGCCAGAGCTGTCAAATACCTGGTTAAGGAGTGGAGATTGGGAGAGAGGCGATATCAGGCAGATGAGGGGCTACAGAGGGTGGTGGGGGGACAGGGAGAGTGAACAGCAGGAGGCCTCACCCCCATATTGTCCCTGAGTCTTACTCACCTGGATGCGGCTGTTGCCCCAGTCGGCCACAATGATGTTTCCATTGGAGTCCACAGCTACTCCCGTGGGGGCATTAAACTGCCCGTTGCCCTCACCATGAGAGCCAAACTTGAAGAGGAACTCACCATCGGCACTGTACACCTGGCAGGGGAAGGACCTGGGGACTAGGGACCAGACCTCAGGCAGGGGAGAATGGGGCAAAACCCCCACTCCCGCACCCCAAATCTGCAGTTATAGCCCTGACCTTCCTGGGCTTCACATCCATTTATCCTACTTACCAGCTCATATTTGCTTGAGAGCAGTTCTGAGTGCTCTCTCTCTGAGTGGGACCACCTAGTTGGCCACGAGTCATTCCTGACTCTTCTACTATGGTTCACAGAAAATGAATCAACACAAATTCACTGATACGATCTCAAATCTCTCTTTCAAATCTGTTATCTATATATATTACAAGTGCCTTCATCCCAGTCTAGGGCTTCATCATTTCTCATTTGGATTACTGTATAAGAGTAGGTAAAGGTAAAACCTCTTTAGTTTTGCTTCCTCCAATGTAACAGCCAGAGTGGATCCCCATAGCTCTTAGAAAGAGAACAAGCTTCTTAAGAGGGCATATAACCTTCCTCTCTTTGCACCACTACCCTACACAAACCCAGTATGAACTTCCTGTGGTTCCTTGAACACCTTATAAGGGATTCCACCTGCAGGACTCAGCTCTTTCTATCTTTGCCTCAAATACTGCCCACTTCTCTACTACCTGCTTAATTCCTACACGTACTAGGTTTTTGCAAATAGTCTCACCTGAGCCAAATGTGTTCCCTGCATTTCTGTATCACAGAACATAGCAGATCATGTCACATATTCCTGGTTACCTTTCTTTCTTCTCTACTAGATTATAACCAAGACAGGGAATATGTCTGCTTTATACATTCCTGTATCCTCCGGAGCCTCCATGATATCAGGGGCAAAGAACCCAGGCGAGGTTTATTGTTTGAATGAATGAATCGCAAGGGAGTAAGAAGAGAAAATGAGGCAGAGAGGAATCTTGTAGGAGAAAAAACACAGGGACAGTGGTCATGAGAAGTGGGAACATACTGACCTTCACTGAATGATTATGGAAATCTGTCACCACAATTTCATTCTTGTTGTTCACAGCTACAAAATGGGGCCCTGAAAATATAAAGTGGTCTCTAGGGCAGCAAGCTGGGATGCTGAGTGAGATGGACAACGGTAGCTGGGACGATGAAGTGAGGGTATTAAGAAAGGGATGGGGCAAGTGGGAGGACACCTCTGGGACGATGAGTTAGGGTACAGGGAGAAGAGGGTCTCTAAGGCCAGGGAGAATAGAAGGGTGTACAAAACTGGGGTATCTGGGCAGTTCCTGGTACTAGTGCACCAGAAGATCTCCAAATTGTCTCCCGATACCTGCAAAGTGTCGGTCAGTGGCCCCACGGCCCCCAAAACGGCCAACCAGTTTGCCATTGGGCTGGAATGTGAAGACACAGCAAGACTTGTTGTCGACCACAATGATATGTCCATTTCTATCTACAGCCACTCCCTTGGGGCCCATGAGGCGGCCAGCTCCAATCTTGGTCTGGAAAAAAAGAGATAACAGATGGGGCTTTCCTTTTACTAATAAGGGGAATGGTCTCAGTCTGGCACTAAAACAGAAACTTCTCAGGCTAGGGATGGACCAGGGAGCCGGAAGAGACTAGCCCAGGACCTGACAAGCAGGAGACGCTAGCTGAACTGGCCACCAGGGGTGAGGACAGTACCGGGAAAGCAAGTCTCTCACCTTGAACTTGCCTTCAGGTGAGAAGATGCTGACCCAACGGTTGTCATAGTCTGCCACAATAATGTCTCCATTAGTGTCCACCGCAACACCTGTGGGGCGCTGCAGCTGGCCAGGTGAGCGCCCTCGGACCCCAAACCGGAACTTGAACTGTCCCTCATTGGAGAAAACCTGGAGCAGAGGAGCAAGGGAGGGAGCGGGTAGGAGGGCAGAGACTGTGGGCACAGAGGGAAGGAAGCAGGATCCTGAAGGAGGAGACTCTCCCCATCCCTGAAGTCATTCCACAAGCACTGAGACCATGCTGGGGTACTGGGAGCAATCACACATGGCCACAGACCTCAGGGGACATGCAGCAGGGTTGGGAAAACACGAAATGGGTAAGCAGAATAGAATGGCCAGGAAAGACTCCACAGAGAAGGTGCTATCTGCACTAAGAGCTTAATAAGAATGCGAAGAGGAACCAAAACCTGCCATAAAGAGGAGGAAAGGCATTCATTTGCAGGTGAACAGAACAGAACAGGTGAGGTGGACAGTGTTCACTATGGGCATCTATGGGCCGTGCTCTGGGACCTGTGCAGGGGAACAAGGGCAGGCACTACTCAGGTGAACAGGGGGAGCTGGTTTATCCTGGGTAGGATGGGGACCCACTGAAAACGTCTGGCCAGGGGGGTGCAAGATCAGATTTGTCTTTAAGAGCATTCCAGTGATAGGGAAGAGTAAAGACTGGAAGGCAGTCAACCAGTGAGAGGCTATAAATATAGTCAAAGTGTGAAAGATGATGATTTGCCCCAATGCTTTGCCCAAGGGTAACTGGCTGAAGGGGGGCAAATGGAATAGGGGATACATCGGAGGTAGACTCAACAGGATTTAGGGGCAGATGGGAAAGAAAAGAAGAAAATGTCCCAAGGTTAATCTAGCAGGTCAGCAGATATAGCCATTCAGGCTATGAACCAACCAGGTAACTTCTCGGACAAGGTAAATCTTTCTCCCTGCCCTTGGCTCCTACTATTTAGCCAACCAGCATGTTCCAGTCTCCCCAGTGTAGAATCTGTTTCCTTAAAGAAAGGCTTCTTCGCTCTTAAGATACACTTGATTTCACAGTCACAACATTACTCCTGTGTAAGTCTCACAGCCTCTGCTTTGTTATAGGCTCTGGGGACACAAGACGAAACAGAGCCAGGAAGCTTTGGAGAAGTTAAGTTCTGGCCTTTTGCCTGGTTCTCCAATCCAGACCTGCTCTCTTCTTGGTGAGCTGTGTTGGTCCTCTCTAATCTCACCTCTAGGCCTGTAGAGCTGTCAGAACAACCTGCTCTACCATCAGAAAGCACTCTTTGCTAATGCTCACCTTTCACCAGGCTGAAGAGCACAATCTTTGGGTCTGCCCTTGCACTGTGGAATAAGAGAAAATAGCACCACAGACCTTTGGGCTGGCAGCACAACTCTGTACACTGTACCACCAGAGCTCAAGAATGTAATCTTAAGGGAGCTATGTTGGCCCAATAGCAAGAAGCTGCACTGAAATCGCAAAGGCGCAGGGTTCTAATCTGCCAGATGCTCTGCTAGAAAAGGAGGGGCAATCTCCTGTGCCCATCGGATCCAATTTGACAGTACACACACAAAAAATAATAAAATTTTTGAAAAAGAAAAAAAAAGAATGTCTTCTTGATGGCTCTTATTGTAACAATGATCACCCTGAAACTAGATACCTGAATTTTCTATGTTCCCTTGGAAGGACATAAACTCTGCAAGGGCAGGAAATCTGCCTTTGCTTGCTGCTTCATTTCCAGCAACTGGTAGAAAAGACACACTGATCACCTGAGTGAATCTCTCAGGTCAATCTCAGACCAAGCTGGACATCTCCACTTTGAGGCTGCACAGCAACCTCAAGCTCCACAAATATAAGAGTCAGTTCATCAACGTACCCCTAGGCCTGCTCCTCCTCCTGTGTTCCAGCACAGTAAATGGCAGCACTACCCACCTGGCCCACCACTCTTGATCCTCCTCTCCGAGAGATAGGTCAGCAAAACCTACTGCATTTGCTTCCTTAACATCTCCAGGATATTCTGGTGCCTTTGTTTGGTCCTTCGTCTCCTACTTTGGGCATGCCATCAGGAGGGGCTGCTTGCTACTGCTGGGTACCACTGAATCAGAAGTGACCCAAAGCTCACCCTTCAGCAGGTTTTCAGAGGCAGTAAGTCACACAGGAGAAGACTGTCCATCTTTAGCTTGCAGAGAAGTTGGTGGATGCAAACCATATACCTTTGTGTTAGCACCTCAAATCCTTATCACTAAGCCACCAGAGCTACCCAGGGAAAGGTAGGGAGTTAGAGAAAGAAAAGAAGAGCCTCAATAAGATGGGCTGACCCTACAACTATAATCATAGGCTCAAGCCTATCAGAGATTGTGAGGTTAGCACAGGTTAAGGCAAGGTTCAGATCTGTTATTCGTAGGGTCACTATGAGCTGTAGCTGATTTGAAGGCACCTAACAACAAGACCATGGGTCGGACTCATATCAAGTTCAAACTGAGGTTGAAAAAAATTTTATAAAGTCTATAGGCACCAAGATATATTAAATTCCATTTGAATTTCAAGATCATCTTAGGAGTAGGTTTGAGGCACTGGAAATCAATGATTGAAGACCTGATGAGTTGTGGGATGATATGAAGGATATCATAAATAAAGAAAGCAAAAGGTCATTACAAAAACACATGAGAAAGAATAGAAATGGATATCAGAAGAGACTCTAAAAATTGCACTGGAGCATTGAGAAGCCAAAACAAAAGGAAAGCATGCTCAAGTAAAAAGAGCTGAACAGAAGATTTCAAATGGCAGCTCGGGAGGATGAAGCACAGTATTATAATGGAATGTGTAGAGAGCTGGAATTGGAGAATAAAAAGGGAAGAACTTGCTCTGCATTTCTCAAACTGAGAGAACTGCAAAACAGATTTAAGCCTCAAGTCACAATATTGAAAGATGCTATGGGCAATATACTGAATGACCCAAAAAGCATCAAAAGATGGAGGGAATACACACTCACTATACCAGAAGGAACTGATTACACTGAAAAATTTCAGGAAGTTCCATATGAACAGGAGCCAATGGTAATGGAGGAGGAAGTGGAAGGTCTATTGATGGCATTCACAAAAAATAAAGCCCCAGGAACTGACAGGATACCAACTGACTTGTTTCAATTAACAGATGCTGCCTTGGATGCACTCACCAGTCTATACCAAGAAATTTGGAGGACAGCTTTCTTGACAATGGATTGGAAGACATTTGTCTTCTAATGGTAATATTGTTGCCATTCTCAAAAAAGGAGATCCAACTAAATGTAGAAACTATTGACCAATATCATTAATATCACATGCAAGCAAAATACTGAAGAGCATTAAAAAACGGCTGAAACAGTACATAAATGGGGAACTGCTAGAAGTTCAAGCAGGATTTATAACACCAGGGACATCACTGTTGATGTAAGCTGGATCCTGGCTGGAAGTAAAAAATGCCAGCAGAATGTTTATTTGTGCTTTGCTGACTATGCAAATACATTTGACTTTGTGGATCATAGCAAGTTGTGGGTGACACTGAGAATGAGAGTTCCATACAAAACATATACCTGGACCAAGAGGCTGTTGTGCGAAGAGAGCAAGGGAATACTGCATGGTTTAAAATTAAGAAGAGAGTTCATCAGGGGTGTATTCTCTCTCCATACTTATTTAATAATCTGTATGCTGAGCAAATTACTTGAGAGGAATGTGGCATCAGGATTGGAGGGAGACTCATCTATTGATGCATTATGCAGATGACACAACCTCACTTGCTGAAAGTGAAGAGGTCTTGAAGTACTTGTTGCAGAAGATCAAAGAATGCAGCCTTGTTAGAGACTGAATCTCTATGTCAAGGAAACAAAGATTCTTACCACTGGACTGATAGGTAACATTATGATGGATAGAGAGGAGAATGAAATTGTCAACAGCTTCACCTTGCTTGGATCCACAATTAACACCATTAGTACCAACAGTCAGGAAATAAGGAGACACAATGCACTGGAAATATCTGCAGTTAGGGACTTCTCCAAATTACTGAGGAGTAATGATGTCAGTTTGAGGACTAAGGTGTGTCTGATTCAGGCTATATATAGCCTTTCTAATCACTTGCTATGCATCTGAGAGCTAGACAGTGAATTAGGATGACAGAAGAATTGGTGCCTTTGAGCGGTGGTATTGGAGAAGAGCACTGAACATCCCATGGACAGCCAAAAGAACAAACAGATACATATTGGAGAGGACGTAGCCTGTGTTCTTTGGAGACAAGAATGATGAGGCCTCGCATCACATACTTGGGCAAGGAGAGGCTATTCCTTGAAGGACATGATGCTAGGTAGGGTAGAAGGTCAGCGAAGGAGAGAAAGACCCTCAACCAGGTGGACTGATACAGTGTCGGCCGCAATGGACTCTTGTGTGTTAAGAACTGTGAGGATATCTATAATCAGGAGAGGATAAAATAGACGAATGGTACCTTCTAAGAATCAAATCCCTACGCACATCCAAAAAGCCACAGACTGGGAAAAAATATTTGGTAATGACATGTCAGATAAGGGACTTATATCTAAAAATTTATAAAATACTTGAGCACCACAACAAGATAAAGGTAAACAACCCAATTTAAAAATGGGCACAGGATATGAACATACACTTCACCAAAGAAGATATCCAGGTGGCAAACACATGAAGATATGTTCAAAATCCCTAGCTCTAAGAGAGACGGAAATCAAAACAACTATGAGATATCATTGCACTCCAGTAGAAATAGCAAAATTTAACAGAACAGCAAGCAACAAATGCTGGCAAGGTTGTGGAGAAACTGGAACCCTTATTCACTGTTGGCGGAAGTGTAAAATGGTGCAACCACTGTGGAAGGCACTTTCTCAAAAAGTTGCACATAGAAATACCATTTGACCCAGCAATTGCACTAGTGGGAATATACCCTAAAGAAACCATAACCACCACCCAAGCAGATATATGCACACTCATGTTTATCGCAGCTTTGTTCACAATAGCAAAGAGTTCGAAACAACCTAAGTGCCCAAGCAACAAATGAATGGATAGGGAAGCTGAGGTATATTCACACAATGGAGTACTACACTGCATTGAAAAACAAGAAACTCATGAAATACTATACAAAATGGATGGCCCTGGAGGACATTATGCTGAGTGAAATATCTCAGTTACAAAAGGACAAATACTGCAGAGAGTCACTGTTGTAAAACGGGACTGACATCAGGGGTGGGGGAGAGTGAGAAAGATGGGATAAATTATGTATACTGCATTGACACAGATGAGGGAGAAAATGGTTTAAAAGGGATATATTATTAAGTATTATTGTCATTACAGGAGTCTAGAACGAAGGCTGCATAGTGAAGTAGATTTATGAGGAGGGACTGTATTTTTCTTTTACTTTTCAAAGAGAAGAGCGAACTAGGGAGGAGGGGGAGGCCGGGAGAAAAGTGCAACAGTGAATGAATGGAAATCCAAAGTCTCGGTAAATTTTCATTAAAATTAATAATAATAAAAAAAATTCTGAAAATAAAAAAATTTAAAAAAAGAACTGTGAGGATGACACAGGATAGAACAAGGTTTAGATCTTTTGTTCATAGGGTCACTATGTGTCATACTTGACTCAATGGCACCTAACAATAACAAGAAGTTTTGTCCTTAACATTTCTCTTCTATACCACAGTAGGCATAAGTAGGTCCCTGACTTGAGGAATATAAAAGTCTAATGATGGAAAGAAAGTAGTTAAAACCAGACTAAAAAAAAACAACAACAAAATAACAAAATCAAGCAGTGGCTGCAGGAAGTATGAAAGTGCTATTGCAAAGGGCTGAGGGAGCTCAGAGAAGAATGGGATTCACAGTCTGCCCGAAGATAGTGATGAAGTTTTCATGGTAAAATTTCTGGACTAAGGTGACTGATAGAATATAATAAATGCAAAGCAAATTCTACATGTAAAAAAAAATTACAAAATGTTTTTTCTCTGTCAGTTGACTCTAGTTTAACTCACTGAAAGGATTTGCTGCACCATCAGGCACAGAAGAAGGGGGAAAGTTCACAAAGCCCTTGCTATGGATTGAACTATGGTGAAATCCTAACCTCTCTACCTGCAGATGTAATCTTATTTATGTTTATGTTAAAATAATGAGGCCATATCAGTGTGGGTGTGCCTTAAACCTAATAACATCTGACATAAAAATAGTAGATTAGGCACAAAGAAATAAACACAAATGGGGAGGGGGGAATACAGGGAAGTTGAGGATGATGTGAGGGATAAACGCCATGCAGAATTTGCCAAAAACCTGAGGAACACTGGTCTAGAGAAAGTGAGACAAGGACTTCCCTCAGAACAGACAAAGTCAGTCTTCCCTTAGAGCTCTCCAAACTCAGATGCATTGAATTAAAACTTCCATACAGTCTCATGGGCGGGGGGGCTGTGTGTGAAGTATCTGCTAAAGCCACCCACTTGTGGTATTTCGTTATGGTAGCACTAAAAAACTAAGACACCAACTTTCATCAAACTGACGGGGGATGTCACTTTAGATCATGAATCCTGGTCCATTCCAGGCCTGAGACCATTTGAGGAGGAGAAGCAGAAACTCAGTTTTGAAATCCCAGAGCCAGACTCCTTGAAGTTATGAAGTTGAGTTGTAGGTGGGAGTAGAAGCAAGCAGGAGGGAAGCTGTAGGATTAGCAGACATCTAGGGGAGAGAAAGGACTATCCAGGCCCTGCCTATCAACTTCCCACACTGGAAGAACAGACAGCACAGCTCCTCATGACAGGAGACAGCGCAGCACAGGTCTGAGCACTTGTTTGCGTGCACATACCACAGAAAATACCTCAAATCTCAGCCTCTGTGCCAGAAAGCACGCCTGCCACATGGGGAGGGGAGAGAAATGGAGGAGGGTGGAGCCTCCAAATACACTTCAGCACCCCTCTTCCCTACCTAGGCTAGACTCAGATGCCTCCCTGTGCTCCCGTATATCCCTATATTCTTCTGCTCTCGACAATGGGGTAGGAGTCAATGTGGGTTTGACAGGTCTGAGTAAACGTCACCGCCGGCCAGGGTCAGGGAGGAGATGGCCTGAGTTTTCCTAAGCACAAGATGATAGGACTCTGGCAGAGCTAGAGCATCAACAGTAGTACTCAGGCAGGGTTAGGGAAGATTTCTATAACAAGTTTAAATCCAGCCCAGTGTTGTGAAATAATGATTTTCAAGAAAAAGTTCTGTTAGCTGACAAAACACTTCCAAAAACAGAAGTGTGTGATATTTGGGCACAGTCTCCTACAGGATAAGCCAAAATTCCACAGCATTAGCTCCAAAACCAGTAACAGTCTGACCTCGCTACCTACCTTCCCCAACAATCTGCCTGCTGCCCCACTGCGATCCTTACAGTTCCCTGAACAACCCTCTCCAACTCTTTCCCACCTCTTTGCCTTTGTTTACAGCCTCTATCTGGATGATATTTTTTAACAATAGTTAACATTAGAAGGTTCACTATGTGTCAAGCAAGGTGTGTTATGTCATCTAAAGTTCCCAGCAACACTAATTTCACACATGAGCTTACTGAAGCTCAGAGAGGTCACATGACTCGTTTGTAAGTGGCAGAGCTAGGATTCGTGCCCAGGTATCTGGTTTCAGGGCCTGAACTTCTAAACCACGCTGTGCCTATCCAGCAAGTAGTGCCTGCTGGGCTCATTCCCAGAACAGGAAGGGGGGAAAAGTCACATTTCCTGGTTTTAAGGAATTCTCACTGCAACAGATATCATATCCATTCAGTGTCTGATGCTTTCATCAGACAATGTGTAAGATGCTAGGAGGGCAGTGGCAGGTCCACTGCAGGACAGCACTACACCTTCTAGCCACCAGAAACAAACAAAAACCAGCTCCAGTGGAAGAGACTCTGACTCACAGCAAGTCCCTGGATGTCAGAGAGAATACAGCTGTGCCCCATCGAGCTTCCAATGGCAGGGATTTTTAGAAGGCTGAGCACCAGGCCATTCTTCCATGGCGCCACTGGTCAGACTCAAATCTCCAACCTTAGTAGCAGAATGCTTAACCGCCTGACCAACCAGGGACTCCAGCCAATGAAATGCACTGTCAATTTACAAGCTTAAAAACATATCTAACCTACCAGATGACTATAGAGACCAGCTACAGACAACATACATTGAGAAGCCAAGAAGGTATGCTGGCAGACAGCAGGCTGGACTGTACCTGCATCTTTCCCACTAAGAGAAAAGGGGGAAAGTAAGCCAGTCAGTATCAGGCTCAAGAGGCAGCAAAAGGGGAAAGCGGCAGAAGCCAGACTGAAAACCAGTCTGGCCTGAGCAAGGGCCTAGAAGGCAGAGTTTGGAAGTGCAGTAAGTCTCCTGAAGGCACTGGCTACTATTATGGCAGGTGGGGGTGGGGTGGGAAAGGGGCAGTGCTATGACTCACTGTTCTTTGTGGAATGGCGTTATCTGAAAGGTTTCATCTTTCAAGAAGTGGCCTGTATGCCCTGTTTTTCCAGGAGGCTCTGGTTTGAGAACCCTTATTTTGGTGTTGGGGGAGAGGGGGAAAGGCACTCACCTGGATACATTGGTTGTTGCTGTCTGCTACCACTATGCGGCCACTGCTGGCTGCTGACACACCTTGTAAATTGGTGAATTCGCCTTTCTCCCGACCACGGCTGCCTGTGGAAGGATGCGCAAGGGAAAGATGCTTTCATTGGTCAGTCTGCACCTAGCTCCCCTGCCTGACCCCTGCCTGAGCAAACCCCCATTTGGATCCTCCCCAGCCAGCTTGTACCAACGCGGAAGACGAGCTCATCCTCGATAGGGTTGTCCTTCCGTTTGCCGCCTGTGCTGTACATGGAGCTGGGCCTACGCACCGCCTTCTGGCGAACGTGGCTGCCTGGGCCGCCAGGAGACTTGACACGGCGCTTGACGTCGTCCGGGGAAGGTGGCAAGTCCCCTGGGCGCAAGGCACGCACGCGGAAGGGGCTGCCGCGCACTGGCTGTCCGTAGAGCAGCACCGAGAGGAGGAGCTCGCCCTCAGTGCGCGCAGTGTACACCAGCTCATATGTGCCATTGTTGTGGTCCACCACGGGCACCGGAAGCCGAGAGCCATCCGGTCCCGTGATCTCGGCGCGCAGCTCCGCACTCCCTGTGCGCACCAGCCGCCCGTCTTTGTCTTTGGTCGTGACGGTGAGCGAGGCAGGCTGGCCCACTAGGGCCTGACGCAGACCTTCGCCTGTGGCCACCGTCTCGTGCGCCGTGGCGCTTGTGGTGAGCAGTGCACCCACGTTCAGTACTGATCGCCGCAGCCCGTCGACCTCAAGGACTAGTTCCAGCTGTGAGTTCTCATGTGGCCGCTCTGGGAAGGCCTGTGCTGCCAGCGCTGCCAGGCGCTCTCGCATGTGCTTGCGCACCAGCAGCACCTCTGGGGCCGAACCCAGACGCAGGGCCTGCTCCGCGAAGCTGCAACTACTGCCGATATGCTCCTGGCCCTGGCGCAGGGTGTCTAACTGGGACTGCAACACCTGGGTTTGGGAGATGGGCAGGTTGGGATGGGGACCGGTGCGAAGGACTCTAATTCCTAGTGGCATTAATTAATTTCCACTGGCATTGCTATAGCATGGCAGAGGGGAGAAGCACGCATATGGATGACATGCCCCCAACCTGTGGAGCCATGTCTAAGAGGCAACAAGTACAGCCTTGGGAGAGACTCAGGAAGGTATGGAAAACGGGGAGCAATGGAGACAATAAGGATATCCCATGATGAACAGCCACAGGGAAGGACAGGCAGACGCACCTTCTGTTTGGCCCCACAAATGGCCTCCAGGTCGCTGACCAAGGCCTGCTTGCGCTGCTGAAGCACTTGCTCCAAGTCCTCGAAGGCTGCGCTGATCTGTGCCAGGGCCTCTGCCTTGCGCTCTTGCAGCTGCTGGCTGATGCCCCCAACTAAGGCGATAGCTGCAGACAGCTGTGGTAGCCTGAGGAGGGGAAGCATCTCACACAGGGGTTGCCAGAAGGGCCCCTCATCAAGCTGCCCCTTTCCCTGAGGACTCAGATGCTGCCCTCCCGCAGATCTCCAAAGCCCCCATGCCACCACTGTAAGGCCCGACTGGCTAGACGGCCATCCACACCCACCTGCCACGCACTGCTTCGAGCTGGCGCTGCAGAGCGGCCTTGTGCTGCTCCACCACGTCCCGCAGCAGCACTGTGCCGTGCTCCCGGTGTTCCCGTGCCCGACACTCACCACACATGGCCGTCTCACAGGCCTCACAGTAAAACTCCATCGTCTGGGGGTGGGTGCAAGCACTCTAGTCAGGCAACAGCTGGACACCCACTTCTCCACACCCAGCTGCCTACCCTGCCCTTCACTTGCTAGGTGTGTTACTTTCCTGCAGCACTAATCTGTACTAACACCCTCTCCCCCACAGCCACCTGCCCCTCATGCTTGTCCTCCCCCACCCACCCCAAGTCTTGGCCTCACTGGGCCTCGCTTGGGCCCACCTTGCCTTCATGGTTGGGGCAGGAGAGGGGACGGCCAGCCACAGCGCTGAGGGGGTGGGGGTCCTCGGGGTCGTGGGCCCCATCAGGTGCCTGCTGCATGGCCTCCATGAGGCTGCTGATGAAGAAGTTGTTCTGCAGTGCTGAGACACCCTGCTCAGGGAGGATGGACGTCTGCCGGCACACGGGACAGGACAGTGTCAAGCTCTGGGCAGGGATGTAGTTCTGAAGGCATCTGTTCAGGGAGGAGGGGAGTCAGAAGGGCAGAGGGGATGGAATGGGCCAGACACCTCCACCTCTATCTCCTAAGGGGCACACCTCTCTCTTCACAAGTGTGTCATTTTTTCTTATTTCTCGAGTTTTCTAGTCGATACACAATCTTTTCTACTGGCAGGTATTAGAAGTCTCATCTTGAGTGGGCAAAAATAAGAAAAAAACCTCAAAAACTTAAATGCAGATGGGCTTACTGGTCTAAGAGACCAGAACGCCTGTTTATGGACAAACCCCTGAGACTATGTTCCTTAGTCACCATTCAATCTAAAACAAGCTCACTGCTGTAGCTCGATTTGTAACCCACAATGAACAGGCCTATAAAGTGAACAATAACACCAGGGAGGCGCGTGCTCCTTAGAAAAACCAACCACTTAAGAATGAAAGAATAGCATCTGCCCAGGGATGAAGTTCAGCAGACAGGGTAGGATAAAAGGATTAACAGAAATGAGGATCACAGGAAGAAAGTGGGAAGACTCTGTGACTACCTTTTGGGTATTATAATTAATGTTTAAAGCTAAATATGTATTAGTGGGTAAATGGAAAACCAATTTGCTTTGTAAACATTTACTCAAATAACAATGAAAAGAAAAAAATTAATTGCTGGTGACTAAGAACAATTTTTTTAAAAGCCTCATTTCTAAGTAGAAACACATCCCTGACCTCTCTCAGAAAAGTAAACATATCCTCCTTCCCTAGTGGCACAAACACAGGTTCACCTTTCACAGGTGTTTATAAATGCTAGCTCTCCCTTCATTAATTCATTAAACATTAACTGACAGACAAGACCTGACAATTGGTGAGAATATAGAAAAACAAGGCACAATACCTGCCCTTAAAACACTTGAGTCTACAGAAATAAAAATCCACATAAATAGAAAAATTTAGAGACATGAACAGTACTGTGTGCTGAGGAAAGGCTAACTGGGTTCAACTTCCAGGTCAGCAGTTTTGTTACATCATGCAATCCTGAATCAGTTACTTCAAGTTTATGAGTCAGCATTCTTCTTTCGTAAAATAGACAGTGTACCACTCACAGGGTACTAGAGGTAAGTGTGAAGTACTGAGAACCAAACCTGACTCACAAGAGACCCACTATTTAATGTAGGCTTTTGACAATATTTTTTAACTATTATTATTGAACAGTAGTAGGTGCAGTGATTTTTTTTTATTTTTATTGTATTATTTTTATGTGTACCGTCAAATCAGATCTGACTGGTACAGGAGGAGATTGCCCCCTCCTTCTCCAGCAGAGCATCTGGTGGATTTGAACCGCATACCTCTGGGATTGCAGTGCAAGATTTTAAAACAATGAACAGAAGGGGCATCCGGCCAAGCAAAGATAGAGGGAGAGGTCAGGAAAGGCTTCGCAAGGAGGTGACGGAGCCAGATTTTCATGCATAACTAATTGTTAGTGCAGGACAAGGAATAAAGATGTCCCAAAAATAGATGGGAGTAAGAAACAACAGAGTATGCTAGAAACAAGAGTATTCTGGTCCAAGGCAAGGAAATACAATGAGAAGTTTGGAGAGGAAGTCAGCTCACAGGGTCTCATAGGCTACAACCATGGAGCTTAGAAATTTTCCCAGCTGCAATGGGGAGCCACAGGATAGTAGCATGGTCAGATTTACATCTTAGAAAATGTCTCCTAACAACTGCTGTGTAGAGGGGATATGTGAAAAGGCCAATACAGGGGACAGTGGCATCATCATTCTCCTTTAGTAAGCACTTAATGTGTCAGGTACTGTGTTTTGTACTTGACTCTATAGCCTAGTGAGTAAAGGGTTGTACTGCCAACCCAGAGGCAGGTGGTTTGAATCCACCAGGTGCTCCTCAGGAGAAAGATGGGCAATCCCCTTCTATGTGATTTACAGCCTTTAGAAACCTGCCAGAGGGTCAGCTATGAGTCAGTTCAGACTCAAGGGCAATGAGTTGGAGGAGTTTGGTGCATGTTACTGTTTATTTTACACAAATATGATTAAGTAACTTCCTGAATCTTATTTTATTTAACATTACACCTTTAAAACCCTTTCATATAAATCCTCAAACTCAGTTGGAACCCATTCAGAGTTGACTTCCCAGAGGGTTTTCATAGGCTATAAAACACACGGAAGAAGACTGCCTATCTTTCTCCTGCAGAGCTACTGGTGGATTCACACAGTTTTGTTTTGTTTTTTTTAATGTGTGTACCATCAAATTGGATCTGACTGGTACAGGAGGTGATTGTTCCTCCTTCTTCAGCAGAGCATCTATCTGGTGGATTTGAACCACATACCTCTGGGATTGCAGTGCAGTTTCCTGCCACTAGGCCACCAGAGCTCGCCACAGGTCTTCTTTAGGTTAATAGTGCAACTCTTCCAGACTACAGCCAGCTAGCATACATTGTTGCTATTGTGTATTGTCAAGTCTGAAGAGACCCATATTTGACCCTCCAGCAGGCTTTGGGAGGCAGTAAATCACATGAGAGTTGAATTCTCATCTTTCTCCCAGGAGCTGGTGAATTTGAACTGCATGCATACCTTTACATCGAGAGCACAATACCTTAGTACTAAGCCACCAGAGCTCCCAAGAATCTATTTTTCCAAATCACTTCCAGTACTATGGTAAAATGTCTTATTTCCGTAATAGTATATATTTTATTTTTAATTCTGTGTAAACAAATTTTCCCTCATTTTTACTTTCATTTTCACTGGTATAAATATTAGCAAGGTTGAACATCTTACCATATGAGCTAGTGGAATTTGTTCTTCTATTAACTGCCTATCCTGATTTTACATTTATTCTTAATTATCCTCTAAAGTAGACTGGAAATTATCAAACAATATCATTAACATCACATGCAAGCAAAATACTATTGAAGATCATTCAAAAATGGCTAAAACAGTACATAGAAAACTTCCAGACATTTAAACTGGATTTAGAAGAGGCCATGGCGGGGAGCTCTGGTGGCCTAGTGGTAAGAAGCTGCACTGCAATCCCAGAGACTCATGGTTCAAATCCACCAGATGCTCTGCCGGGAAAGGAGGGAAAATCTCCTCCTGTACCAGTCAGATCTGATCTGACGGTACACAGACACACATACACAAAATAAAATTTAAAAAAAAATAAAAAAAAACAACAACAACACAAAACAGAAGAGGCCATGGCACCAGGGATATCAATAATAACAGATGGATCCTGACTAAAAGCAGAGAATACCAGAAGAATGTTTACTTGTGCTTTATTAACTATGCAAAGGCATTTGACTGTGTGGATCATAACAAATTATGACTAACATTGAGAAGAATAGGAATCCCGGAGCACATAACTGTACTTATGCAAAACCTAAACCTAGACTAAAAAGCTACTGTGCAAACAGAGCAAGGCAACACCACACGGTTTAAAATTAGGAAAGGTGGGTGTCAGGGTTGTAGCCTTTCTCTACAACTATTCATATGTGTGCTAAGCAAATTATTTGAGAAGCTGGACTCTATGAAGAAGAATGTGGCATCAAGGACGAAGACTCATCAATAACCGGCATTATGCAGATGACACAACCTTGCTTGCTGAAAGTGAGGAGGACTTGAAGCCCCTTGCTGCAGAAGGTTAAGCACTGCAGCCTTCAATATGGATTATACCTCAGTGTCAAGAAAATAAAAAGTTTTTACCAGTGAACCTATAGGCAATATCATGATAGATGGATGGAGAAAAGGATTAAAATTGCTAATAATTTCATCTTCCTTGGATCCACTAGCAATACACTTAGTAGCAGCAGTCAGGAGATCAGGTGACATATTGCACTGGGAAAGACTGTAGTCAGGAACCTCTCCAAATTACTGGAGAGTAATGAGGTCAGTTTGAGAACTAAGGTGTGCCTGATTCAGGCCATGGTCTTTTCAGTCACTTGCTATGCATGTGAGAACATATGAATAAGGATGACACATGACCTGATGACTGGAAATTATCAAAATAATTTTATAAGAAAATCTTTGAATTAAGGTGTTAAAGAATATTACTGAATACCATTCTATAACATGGACTGAAAAAAGAACAAACATAGAAGTCTTGGAGAAAGTGGAGCCAGTGTGCTTCTTTGAAGCAACAATAATAAAGCTTTGTCTCACATACTTTGGGCATGTTGCTAGGAAAGGCTATTCCTTGGAAAAGGATACCATACTTGGGAAAGCGGATGCACAATGGAGGAGAGGTAGACCCTTAACCAGGTAGACTGACACAATGACTGCAGCAAAACGGGCTTCAGTGTGTTAGAGATTGTGAGGCTGGCACAGGAAAGGACAGGGTTCCGATCTGCTGTTCATAGGGTTGCTATGAGATGTACTTGACTCTACAGCACCTAACAACAAGAAGAAGACAGACTGACACCATGACAGAACAAGGAACATAAGAGATTGTGAGGGCAAGAGTTTTGGAGCTGACTTCACAACACTTGCTATGAGATGTACTTGACTCTACAGCACCTAACAACAAGAAGACAGACTGACACCATGACAGAACAAGGAACATAAGAGATTGTGAGGGCAAGAGTTTTGGAGCTGACTTCACAACACCTAACAACAACAGTCCTTGAAGGTAGAGAAATTTACTTCCTTTTTCTATATAAGGAAATGGACTGCCCAAATTAGTGAGCCTGGCTTCAAATGTAGGTTAAAACATGTAGCAAGGGGCTGGGAGGACCTGCATTTGGACAACAACAACACAGACTAAGAGGTAGGGGCACATTTGATAATTATTCAGGAATTAAAGCAGGTGGGAGGTGCCTGGTTATATACTGTTAGTGAAAGACATGGGTCTTGGGAGATACTCGGGTGACTAAAGACTGAGAGAATGGTAGTGAAACTCACTAAGATGAGAAATACAGACATAAGAATAGTTTACTGGGCAAGATGAATTTCATTTTGCCCAAGCTGAGTGTAACAACAGAGGACATCAGGTAGAGGAGAACAGAGAGACAGAAAAGTTATGCTA